TGGAAAAGTCTGCTCATCTCGCAGCTGGGCCAAGCCGGTCTCCTTGCTGGGGTCCCCGCTCCACCTCCTGCCACCCCATTACCTAAACCCCATACAGGACATGACCACATGGCCCAGGATGAGGGGCGCAGGCGGCCCAGACAGGGTGGCCATTCACGGAGCCGCCCTCAGCCTGGCTCAGACGCAGCCCTGTGCTCTGGGCAGAGGAGCGGGTGCCAGGAGAGGTGGACACCCGGTGGGGGTAAGGGACAGGGCAAACCCGGCCGGGCGCCCCACACAGGCCGCTGGCCTGGAGGACACGTGATGTCATGGGGGATGGGAAGCGCGGTGTGAGGTAGGAGTGGGGAGAACTGCCCCTCCCTCACCTGAGCCCCTGGAAACAGGGCTTCAGGGCTTCACTGAGGGCCCTGCCTGGGGGCAGGGAGCAGGAGTCTGAGCCCATTCAGGAGCTTGTCCCGCTCTGAGGAGCTTCACAGAGGCTGCAGAGCCAACGAGACGTGTGGCCTGGCTGTTGAAGGATGGAGAGGAGCTGACCCCTCAGACCAAGAAGACGAAGGTCCTCCAGGTGGAGGGAACCATGAGACCACGTGAGACCTTACCTGGGGCATCATGGTCTTTGAGTGGGAGGGAGGCAGGGGAAGGGGTTTTCCTACAGGGTGCCGGGGTCTGAGGGGGTCTGCTTCCATGAGACCTCAGGCAAGCCAGTTTGCCTTGCCTCAGTTTTGGCATCTGTACAATGGGCACAATCAGTGGGATGCAGATGTAGTGAAGAGTTCCTGACTCACAGTAGGCCCTCACGAACCCGTGGGCCTCCGTCCTGTGAAATTCTGGGTCTCCATTCGAGGCACTGAAGCAGGGTTCAGAGACTGGGCTCTAGTCCCGCCCCGTGGAACCACACCTGCGGCCTCTCCAGCCCTTGATGTCTCGTGTCTGAGATCGGACTGTTCCCTTGCTCCTCATCATCCTCACCGACCAGCCTGGGACGAGCAGTCAGAAGATGCATTGCCAATAGAGGACTTTCCGTGACTCCCAGGGCCCAACCTGGGGCTCCTGTTGGAACCAGCCTGGGATCGAGGCCTCACGGCACGTCGTTTGCCTCTCCACGTCCTCACGCGGTTCTCTCTCATCTGTAAGATCAAGGCCGCGGCAGCACCTGGCCCACCAGGGAGTGTGCTGTGGGTGAAATGAACTGGATCAGAGGGGGCTACGGGGCTCCCCAGCCCCCAGGCCCCTGGGCCCCGACCACGGGGGCTCGTTCAGTCAGACTGATGCCGGCAGTCCAGGGCCCACATGTGGAAAACCACTGGTCTTGTGCACGTAAAGGCTGGACCTAGTGCCGAGGACATGGCGCCCGTCCCTACAGGTTATAGCTCTGGTCATGCTATTAACAAACCATAGCAGTGATAACTGTCCCCCTCCAGCGAGCACTTCTGGCCATGCAGACTCTAGAATTTGACCCAAATGCTTGTTCCCAGTGTTATACCCAGGCCCAGGCCCCCATATCAGCAGGGGCAGCTCCTGACCTTCCCAGGACTCTCCCCACCTGGACTGCTAGGACCCCAGCTTAGGACCCTCAGACGTGTGTGAGTGTGTGTGTGCGCGTGTGTGTGTGTGTGTGTGTAGTCGCTCAGTCATGCCCGACTCTTTGCAACCCCATAGACCGCAGCCTGCCAGGTTCCTCTGTCCATGAAATTCTCCAGGCAAGAATATTGCAGTGGGTAACCATTCTCTTCCTCCAGGGGATCTTCCCGCCTTAGGGATTGAACCTGAGTTTCCTGCACTGGGGCTTCCCTGATAGCTCATAGTTGGTAAAGAATCCACCTGCAACGCAGGAGACCCCGGTTGGATTCCTGGGTTGGGAAGATCCGCTGGAGAAGGGATAGGGTTTCCACTCCAGTATTCTTGGGCTGCCCTTGTGGCTCAGCTGGTAAAGAATCCACCTGCAATGTGGGGGACCTGGGTTCAAGCCCTAGGTTGGGAAGATCTCCTGGAGAAGGGAAAGGCTACCCACTCCAGTATTCTGGCCTGGAGGATTCCATGGATTACACAGTTGCAAAGAGTTGGACTCAACTGAGCGACTTTCACGTTCACTTCCTGCATTGCAGGCAGATTCTTTACCACCTAAGCCACCAGAGAAGCCCCCCCCCGCACAACCCACCACCCCCAGCAGCCAAGAAGGAGGCTAAACAATAAGCTGCTGGGGAAACACGAGCTGGTTCCAGGTCCCATCCCCTCCCACCTGCCCTCAGCCCCCTCTCCCCCACAGCCCAAAGACCTCTGAAAAGAAATCCCTTTATCTCTCTTTCCCTTTGTCCCACCCAGGATGGGGCTGTCACTGGGGCATCTTCTCTCCCCAGACGGGCTCAGAGCCTTTCCCTAGGAAATGTGCCAACCAGTGGGAGATTTGGACATTTACTCTCCTCCTGGGCGAAGGTCAGCTTTCTGGGCTGCACATGACATCCTGGGCCACAGGTAACACATCAGAAGGCTAGGGCCTAAGAAGGAAGGGAAACGCATAAAAACAGAATGCAAGACAGTAGGGAGTGATGGGGACTAGGGCCAACTGCAGAGCACCGCACCGGTCTGGCCTCTAGGCGCTATTGCCATGCAGAAATGTGCGTCCACAGCACCCACTTCTTCTTAGTTCTTTGAGAGAAGCTGGAAATTTATAATTTTCTCTTTTGAAAGTAAGAGTTGCTGACCTTCTAAATCCTATGTGGGCCACATGAAAAATCACTGAGGACTAGATATGGCCAGGAAGGTCGTAAGTTCTGACCCTATTCCAGGCTAGTGTGTTCTGCAGACCAGGAATCCACAAAATGATCCCTGATTAAAGAGTTCCTTGGTCAATATTGCTGGGCAACAAAGGCATTCTAAATCCCATCCGGGTGTCCCACTGTGCATTAGCATATTAAAGGCTCTGAAAAGGTCTGCAGGAACTAGACCTGATGAACTTTCTGAAGCCCAGGAGCGCAGGAGTGATCCACAGGGCCTGTCCTGAGCCACAGCCTAGAGCTGCAACTTCTGACTTCTGCAATGTGCCAACCAATTCAAAGCTTCACGGGCCCCTGGGGTCCATCTGAGCCCTGAGTTAGGAAGCACCTTCCTTCATCTGCTGGCCCAACAATAGCTATGGAGATTGTGCTGGGCCAGGGTTGGTGTGAGCTCCAGGGACCTGATACTTGGGTCCCTGCCCTGTCTCGTGGAGCCCACACACAACTACCCCTCTGTCCAGGTTTGCCCCCTTTGGCAACTCTGGGCTTCCCATCACACAGCACTGATGCACTTCATATAAATATGAAGCCTTTGTCAGCCAAAAGCAGGGACTGATGGACAAGCCACCAACACCTGAGCCCAGGGCTACTTTGCACACACTGTGACACATCGAGACAACATTTAATCAACAGTACTGACTGAGTGAAATGAAAAGAAATTAGAAGATGAAATTAAAGGATGCTTGTTCCCTGGAAGGAAAGCTATGACACACCTAGACAGCATGTTTAAAAGCAGAGATATCATTTTAATAACAAAGGTCTATACAGTCAAAGCTATGGTTTTTCCAGTAGTCATGTACGGATGTGAGAGTTGAACCATAAAGAAAGCTGAGCACCGAAGAATTGATGCTTTCGAATTGTGGTGCTGGAGTAGACTACTGAGAGTTCCTTAGACTACATGGAGATCAAACCAATCAATCCTAAAGGAAATCAACCCTGAACATTCATTGGAAGGACTGTTGCTGAAGCTCTAATACTTTGGCCTCCTGATGCGAAGAGTTGACTCACTGGAAAAGACCCTGATGCTGGGAAAGATTGAGGCCAAGAGGAGAAGAGGGTGACAGGATGAGATGGTTGGATGGCATCATCGACTCAATGGACATGAGTTTGAGCAAACTCTGGGAGATAGTAAAGGATAGGGAAACCTGGCATGCTGCAGTCCATGGGGTTGCAAAGAATCAGACATGACTTATCAACTAAACAACGACAACTGAATGAGCACCTAGTAAGTCCAGGCAGTGAGCTCAGTGCCAGGGGCACAGCTGCAAATAAGAGAGATCTCAAGGCTCAGCCCCTGTCATCATCAGGCCTGCAGTACAGAGAAGGAAGCAGAGACAAATAGCAAGGGGGTTAGGGAGACAGTGGGAGAGAAAAAATGCAATTCCAAGGAAGCATTTCAAGTGTCACAAAAGACATAAACAAGAAACTGAAACAGAGTGCAGTGAGCTGGAAAACCTACTTTTGATGGGGTCAAGAGAAGTATCTCTAAGAAGTTGTTATTTATACTGAGACTTAAAGTGTGGGAACAAAAGAACCATGAGAAAGCTTTCCAGGTAGATGGCACTGCATGGGCAAGGGCCCTGAGGCAGGGAAGAGCAATAATCACGGAGGATAGCTTAAGATGAGATTGAAGAGGTCAGAAGGGCTCAAATCATATAGCAGCTGTGGGCTGTATGTATCAGCCAGCTATGGCTGCATAACAAACAAGCCCTAAACTTAGTGGTGTGTAGGAAGTACCATCAATTATTATAGCTCACACTCTGGGGGTCAGATGGTGTCTGAGAGTGCTCTACATCAGGCTGAAGAAGCCTTGCTCCACATATTCCTCCTCTTCCTCCTTAGACTTGGGGGACCAGCCTGGCAGTCCCCTTCTCATAGTGATGGTGGGAGGGCAAGAGAGAAGCAAGGCTTCTTAGGGCTCAGACTTAGAACTGATAGGCTGTTTTACTTCTGCTCCTTTCTATTGACCAAAGCAAGTTGCCTGTCTCCTTCAGGGGTGGGGAATGACATCCCCCTGACAGTGGGAAGACATCGCAAAGGACAGAGGAGGTGGCTCAGATGAGGATGGTGACCATGACGGAGAGAAGTCATCTAAAGGCAGAAGCAATAGGAATGTTGCTGATGGATCAGAGGTAAGGAAAAGGGTGGAATCAAGTTTGGCCTCCGATTTTCTCCCAGAGTGATGAGGTAGACGGGGACGTCTATGGCAGGCGGAAGAGACAAGACATGGGGGTTCACCCCAGCTTGCTCTGGCCCCTCGACTTCCTCTTCGGCCCCATGAGAGGTCAGGGGAGCCCCCCGCCCCGGCCAGCCCAGGCCGCTCTTCACCCCCGTCCCCAGCCAGAGCCCAAGCTTCCCGCGCTCGTGTACAGTGAAGATCGGCCGGCCCTGCGGTGAGTTACGAGCCCCATAGCTCACAGCCGGGCTGGCGCTGGAATGATGTGTTGTGACCATCCATCACCTCCTGACGGGCACCCAGCGCCAGAATTCGGCAGCTGCCCTTCACCGGGACACTTAATTATAAAGGCCTGAAACTTTCCCCTACCGGCCCAGGAAATAAAGGCTTTGTTTACCAACTGCAAGTGGGGAGGCACCCAGGGGAGAGCCCATATATCAAGACAGCCTGGCAGAGGCAGGGAGAATCCTGGGGCCTGGTGGGCGGGTGGAGGGGGCAGGGCACGGAGGAGGCTTCCAGGGAGCTGTCACCTCAACCCCCCCGCCCCCCAGCCCTGCGCTCCTCGTCTCCATAGAAACGTTGATCCCAGTCGGTCTATGTCATCTCACCTGCGCTGCGTCTGAATTCGTTCAAAGCCAACGCAGGGCAATGCTCTGGGCCCCTCTTCTGGGTTTGCCAGCCCCTCCAAAAACTCTCAGAGCCTTATGGATCTTGGGGGGAAAGGAGAGGGCACAGCAGGACATCGAAGACACCATTCAACTCACAAGGATGTGCGTTCATCTCTCCCGGTTCTCAAAGTGTGGTCCCCAGACCAGCGGCCTTGGTCTCCAAATGCATGTTCTTGGGCTTTGAGAAGTAGTGTTAGTCGTTCAGTTGTGTCCGACTCTTTGCAACCCCATGGACTATAGCCCACTAGGATCCTCTGTCCGTGGAATTCTCCAGGCAAGAATACTGGAGTGGGTTGCCATGCCTGTTTCTAGATCTTCCCTGACCCAGGGATCAAACCTGGGTCTCCTGTATTTCAGGCAGATTCTTTACTATCTGAACCATCAGGGAAGCACTGACCTAATGAAGCAGCAATTCAAATGACTGTAGCTGGAGAAGAGCAGGTTTTCTCCAGGGAGAAGGAGCGGGCTTCCAGCACTGTTGGTCCCTGGAACAGGAGCATCGGAAGGAGGTATGCAAGGAGAAGCTGAATTTGATCCTTGCCAGGTGATCGGTCCAAGACACGCTTTCCTCCAGATCTGATCCCCTCAGTGGAGACATCACTGTCTGAGCAGATCAGGGAGGACTGTGCAAGCATCCAGACCCAACCCAGCAGGGCTGAGTTATCTGCACTGATGTGGACCCCTCCCAACACTCACACACGCTCTCTTCATTGTCCCCCACCTCATTCCAAGGGACCAAGGCGCTTGGCAGCTGCCCTGAGGGAAGGAGGTGGTTTGTGGCTGAGGGACAGAGGGCATTCATCTGCCCACGGGCGTTGCAGGCCACTCCACAGCACCATAAAGTGACACATGGAGAAACTGAGTCACGGGACCCGAAAGACGTCTGGCAAGTTGGGTGTGGAACTACGCCAGGCCTGCAATCACGGCCCCCCGGCCTCCAGTCTGTACTCCACGGCCCACAGCGCTGTGTTTCTGAGCAAGTCACTGTCCTCCTCCAGGCCCTGGAGTCTTTTGTCTGCAACAGGAGAATAATGATATTCCCCCACTGGGTTGATCCAAACCAGAATGGGGATGACCAGGGATGACGGATTCCAATTCTAATCACTGATATGGGTCCTGCATCACTTTTCAGGAATGTGGATTGTTCGCCATCCCCAACCATCCTTCTGCTTTTTTTTTTTTAATTTGAGGTAATAACTACCCTATCTTGTTTATTTCTTTGGCTGTGTCGAGTCTTAGCCACGGCATGCAGGGTCCTTCATTGCAGTGCATGGACTCTCTAGTTGTAGCTCTTCTTTAAAAACAGGTTTTAACTAACTATTCCACTGTCTTTGGATTCCCTCAGAGGCAGGCTTTGAGATGAGCTGTTTGCTTGGAATGTGCAAGGTAACCCTTGTTGAGGAGCAGAAGAACGAGAGAAGAAGGCACCTGTGAAGGATGTGTTATCACAGGCAGGTACCATCAGGGGCTCCATCTCCCTGGGGAGCGTTGGAGCTTCTGTAGCCACACGCCTCAGGGGTATCCTGCCTAAGACAGGAGGGAGCTGGGGTGTTGATACACCAGCTCCTGTATGTCAGTGGTTGAGGGCTTCCCAGGTTGTTAATTCCCAGCCCCTTCTTGCCTGCCCCTAGAAAGGGCAGAGCAGACACTGGTGGCCAAACCCTCAGACAAAGAACTTTTGGTGCTAGCCATTGGATGGGGCTGATGTGCCCAGAAACACTTAGTGCCAAGGGGGGACAGGTAGGGCCCCCAATACAAGCCACACCCTCCTTCCTTCTCCATGTGGAGAAACGCTTTATCTATTTCAAGACCCAACTCGGAGTACAAGCTTTCCTCCAGTCAACCCTCTCCAAATGCCCTAAGGAGAACTGGAATGTGCCTTCTTGTGGCAACTTTGTCTTGTCTCTTCCATGAGCACTGCTTTCATTCATTTGCCAGATGTTTCTTCAAAGACAGCTGGGTGCCAGGCACCGCACGGGCCCCTGATCACACTGCTCTGTAACCATTCTTGACTTGCCTGTGAGCGCTGGACCGTGAGGGCTCCATAGGCGGGGCTGGATCAGATTCCTGTGGGCATCCCCAGCGCTGAGCACATAGTCAGCACTCAGGAAGCACCAACCAATCTGAACTCCAAGGGAAAAGCAAATCTGACGCTACATGAAAAGCCCTCGGCTTGGTACAAAACCCGCCAAAAGAAAAGATCTGAAGAAAGAGCTCTTAATGTGTGGGTACAAGCTGTGTGAGTGAGTCCCTCTGAGACACATCACCACCCCAATCTGTACCTGCCTCGCCCCAGGCGCTCCAAAAGACAGAGCTGCATGCCCTTGGGAGAGCCCCCAGCAGAGGAGCCATCTAAAATTAGACCTGCCCTTGCGGGCGCTTAAATTAGAAGAACTTTGCATTCTGAGATGCCAACAGGTGCCGGGCAACAGTTCAGGGACCAAAATAAATCGGTGGCTCACTGGGACTTAAAATTAGATGAAGCCTCTGGGTCCAAGCAGCTGCCGGTGTTGGGCAAGTTGTCTTCCATAAAGGATTGAGAGCAGGTAGTCCAAAGCCCTCCATATCAGAACCACTCGGATGAATCAAAGGGAATGGATGTGTACTAACAATCTACCTGGTGCCAAGCCTGTGCCAACAGCCTGGCTTGCATTCTGCAGCTCAATGTACACAGTGGAACTGAGAAGGAGCACTATCAATTATTATGCTGCCCGGCGATTGATGCCAAAGAGCTTCATTCCAGGGACTTGTCCACAGGCACCCAAATGACAGAGCAGGGTTTGAGCCTCTGCTTCTCCCTGGCTGCTCCTGGCTCATTTCAGGGAGCCAGACCACCCTCATCCATTTCTAGGAGGGTCCTCACCCACCCCCTCTACCTCCCTAAGTAGCCTTTGTTTGGGGTCATGTGACCTGCCCCTGGCCACACTGATTGGACAAAAGCAGTATCATCATCTAAAGTGAACTGCTCACTGGCTGGTCAGAGACGTACAGTGTCTGGCTGGGAAGGATGAACTGAACCACTCGGGTCTCCTAGCAGAACGTGCAGTGAGCAAGCTTCCTAAGAGTGAAGGATGGAATAGACCCAATCGAGGAGAGAGGGGGATGGGGCAACAACACAGTCACACAGCGACTCCACCTGATGTTAGGGACCAGTGGGACATAGCACACACAACATCCTGAACTCATCCCTAGGAATTTTACCCCCTTTTACAGATGAAAGTAATTGCTATCGGTAACCGCTCACAACTTGTGTCCAACTCTTTGCAACCCCATGGTCTGTCCATGGAATTCTCCAGGCAAGAATACTAGAGTGGGTTGCCATTGCCTTCTCCAGGGGATCTTCCCTACCCAGGGATCAAACAGCTTTCCTGCATTGCAGGCAGATTCCTTATCATCTGAGCTACAGGGCAGCAACTGTGATTGGAGAGATCACCAAATGACCCCAGAGATAAAGATGAGCTCTGGGTTCCAGAGTCCTCCAGCCGAGGGGTGCCAATCCACATGTGTGCATGTGTGTGAGAGTGTGTGGGTGTGCACAAGCCTGTGGGTATCACCCAGAAGAGAGGGCACAAGGCGGACTGGGAATTCAGAGCAGGTGTGGCCCTCAATGCAGCTGTAGTGGGCTCCCCAGCCCTCTGGGAACCTCTTCACGTTTCTTCCATTTTCCATTGACAGGGCCACCTGGGCTCAACCAGTAATTGCTGTTGACACCAAGACAGAAAGTGCTGTTTGCAGCCTGGGCACCATGGCCTGGCAGCTCTGTCCTGCCCTCCATGCTACTGAACAAAATAACCAGCTTTTGGAAACTCAACTCTCAAATCCTGGATCATCCGTAGCATGCCACTGGGCCAGCTCTAACCTTCTATCACCTCAGTTTCTCCACCAACGATGTTGGAGAAATCATGGCTCTTTTTTTTTTTTTAATAGATTGTTCCTAAGAAATCTATTAAAAAAAAAAAAAGAAATAAACATGAGAAGTCATTGTTCAGTATTTGTCAGTTTCTTTGAATATCCTAAGATCAGCTTTGCATGCGGGCTCCAGGAATGCTGGGTTCCACTTTTTTTTACTCTGCCACAGACCCTCGGCATGACTTCCTGCTGCTAAGTCACTTAAGTCGTGTCTGACTCTGTGCGATCCCATCCCTGGAATTCTCCAGGCAAGAACACTGGAGTGGGTTGCCATTTCCTTCTACAACGGATAAAAGTGAAAAGTGAAAGTGAAGTCGCTCCGTCATGTCTGACTCTTTGCGACCCCATGGACAGCAGCCTACCAGGCTCCTCCGTCCATGAGATTTTCCAGGTAAGAGTACTGGAATGGGGTGCCATTGCCTTCTCCGACTTCCAACAAGTCCTTTATCCTCACTGGACCACAGTTGCTCCCAGTTCTATGACAGTAGGGTAGCCATGATTCAATCATTGATTTCCACTATATACTACTGGGTCCTGCATTCACCATGGTAGGTGCAGACGTGAATGAAACAAAGAGGATTACTGTGGTATCCAGGAAGGCTTCCTGGAAGAAGAGGCATTTGGATGACTCCTCTCTTTC